CTGAGCATTATAACCCCAATTTGTTATTGTGTGCTGCGCATTTTACTGAGGACAGCTTCCACAACACGAGTGAGTAGTTCCGGATTCGCCAAAAGCTTTTGTTGAAAGACGGAGCAAGGGGCGTGGCAGTACTGAAACACCGTCTAAGCTGTTCGCCAATCACAACGCACTGGGACAGCTAACCAATCACAACACATTTTGTTTTTCGTTAGGCGGACCTTCATCAAAGCCGGAACTAATTTGTGGCAGGCTGGGGAGAAAGGTATTGTAATAATGTAAATTATGTGAAAAATAATGCGTTTTTCGAACCACCAAGCATGAGAGAATGTTCTAGTACACCCCCAAAACAAAATCAAGACTTTGTAAAAGAGCATAATAGGACCCCTTTAAAAGGATTTGCCACTGATGATTCAAACGCGAGTTTTGAGCAGTGTAGAGTAGCGCTTGTTTTTTGTCATTTCTCCGATCACAAACGCAGACATGGTTTTATGTTTACGTGGCGCGATGCAACGCAACGCGTAAAAAGACAGTATAAGTCATTATAATCCGTAATTATGTCCCCACTGGATGCAACAAATGCCTCGTTTATAATGGGTTTTAATGTTTTTGTCTCGTCGCTCCGGCCAGGACACGGCATCACAATATGGTAGGGGCATAACATTTCCGTCACACGCTTGAGGTATTCGGCAAATCATAACTTACTGGATAGCTGGCCAATCAGAGCACACCTCGCTTTTCAGACCAATGAGCTTTGTAAAAATCGACGTGTTTCAGAAAGGCGGGGCATAGAGGAGAAACAATAATGTACAGTATGTGGAAAATAATGTTTTTTAAACCTTAAACCGCATAAACACATTTCATTACACCAAATACACCAAATAATGTTCTTTTTAGCAATATCATATGACCCCTTTAAATATTCTGTTCCACTCAGAAACCTCACATAACAATACATCAAATTGTGTTTCAGGTTGACTTTAACGTAAAAATGCTACGCTGCACAGCCCTGACCAGCTGAGGTTTGAGATCCTGGACATATTGGGTTGCGCAAGAAGGCTAATATAAACATTTAGATCATGTGCAAACGCGAGATGCCAACACCACACTACACATTTATAATGTATATTCTGCAAGTACACAAGCATCACATGCATGATGTATGCAGGCAGCTTTTCATATCCTAAGCTCAAAACCACAAATCCACAACACATGTCATATACCCATCTTCTTCCTATACCCCCACCCCTCCTTTCATTCCCCAACCAAAACATTTCCTCCTTCAGAGGTGGTTATGTAACTGTCAGCCACATTGCTGTGTAATTTGTGAGGTCGAAATCCAACTATAGCGACCAAACTAATGCAGCTCAGGGAAGGACCAAAGGCGGCCATTTACCTTCCTGGAATGTACGGAGGGTCAGGGAGGAACACAGGCCCCACTCAGAAGACGAAGGAGAACTAAAAATACCAAGTCAGACACCACAACGGAGTCATTTCACAATAATGACTATATTACTAATAATAAAAACATGCAGAAATGTATGCCCAGATCTTATGGGAGGTCTAGGTGCATGTGGTGTACAACAGAGGAACAAGATTCAAACTCCAATGAACTTTTGGTCACGCTAAATCTGAAAACGGGGGAGACATGGAAGTCAGACAGACTGAGCCACAAAACAAATTTCATGTTTTTGTAACAACTAAATAAAAACCTTTAACCCACACATAAAGACCAGAAAAAGGGACATAATGTCTGTTCCATCCCTGCTTACTGTATTTCCACTGGGGAAACTGTACCACCCATCTACAGATGAACTGAGCACTTCCTCTGTGTGTACTAATGTTGTACATGCTGTCCCATGAATGCAGGGCAAAGACAAATCAACCTACGATTGTGAAATTCACATATGCCAGTGAAATGTTATGCTTTCAGTCCTGCGAGAAACCAAATGCCTATTTTACATTTTCTTCACTTTAAGGGCAAAAATAAATAATTGTTTAAAGTAGCTGTCCTCAAATGGCGGGTTTTAACCCAAAAATGCTATTCTAATGATAATATTAATGAATTGTTAATATAATAAATTTTTGTTTTGGGAGATTCACCACTGTGCATAAACTCATACTAGTACATAAAATTATCATTCATACAAATCATAATCAGCCAGCAGCATCAGGACCGACAGCAAAAGATAAAACCGTTAAGAATGTATCCAGACAACGTGATCCAAATCAAGTCTGACTCCATACTACTGTATATTTCATCTGATAGCATGTTTCAGCTTCCAGAGACCTAAAAAAAGCCCCATTCCAGTCTCTATTTAGCCATGTCATAAAGGCAGCTCGGCTCCCTTCAGCTAGGCCTCGTAATTCCACTGGACCGAGGTGGATTTCTCGGTGGTGTTGTGCATGGGCTTGAGCACAGCATTCCTCACATGCCTAATTCAATCACAGGGCTGCTCTCAGAGCTGTATCTGAACATTAGTAGCAAAGCCCCAACACATATTCATTAATGATCTGACAAGGGGTCTGTATTAGAGAGCCTGAAACAAAGCACACTCAACACATTCTGTTTTAAACTGAAGGACCTTTGGTCTCCTGCATGTTTGACACAAATGAATGAACAGGCTATTATCAAAAAACTGAAAATTCTGTCATCATTTACTCCCCCTCATGTTGTCTCAAACCTGTATGACTCTTTTTTTGGTGGCAGTGATATTTTTAATATTATTTTATGTACTATTATAGTATTTATTAATATTTTGAATTAGTTTTTGTTTTTAGTTTTCATGCTCATTTTAGTTCCCGTTTAGTTTTAGTGATTAAGTGCTTTTGTTTTGTCATTTTTATTAGTTTGCTTTTTTAAAATATTTCTATATAGCTACATATTTCTATATTTTTTTAACTTTAGTTTTAGTCATTTTAATACTTAAACTTCTATCAGTTAGTTGCCAAGACATTTCAAATTTATCTATTTTTAATATGGTCTAATTTTATAATTTTATTTCAGCTTAATTTCAGTTACACAAAGATTTTTTCAAATTTTAGTTTTAGTATAATAACAATACCAACACTGTTATTGATGTGTTTTGATGCATCATAAAAACATGAAATGTCTCAGGGTTTTTTTTTTTGTCCATGCATTGGAAGTCAATTTTCACCGAAACTGTTCAGTTGCCAACATTCTTCAAAATATCTTCTTTTGTGTTCCACAAAAGAAGGAAAGTCATACAGGTTTGGAACAGCATGAGGGTGAGTAAATGATTTTTGGGTGAACTATCCCTTTAATATTCAGCCACTACACTTCAATACAAGGACCAGAACACATGTGATATGTTTAACTAAATAGTGATTGCACAACAACCACCATAGCACAGCAACACAGATACACTGAAACAATCAGTTACAAAATACTACAGTAGTAGTATGTTCTAGCATAGTAGTTATATATTAACTGGACCATTATCAACTAACACTGATATTAGCAAAAAAAGAATTGAAACAATTCTGTATACATGTTTGTATTTTGAGTGTTAAAGGTGAGGAAGAGCTGACTTGGCTTCTGCCACTTCCTTTGGGGTGGAGATGTTACAGTGCGCTCTTCAAGAAAAAAAATAATATAAATAAATTGTGAAAACTGCCATTTCAACATTACATTCAATATTATGTAATGATTTCAGACTTGGCAAAGACTGGATATACACTGCACTGGATGTCTACTGTACAATGTTCATAGCCCTATATTTGCAGAAACATTTCTGAATGCAAGTTTATTCAATTATGTGTATATAAAATAACATTTAAAAAAGCATTAACCCCTGATCACCATTAACACACAAGTAATACACAAGTTACATAATTATTTATATA